CCCGGGGGCGGGGTGGAGAAAGGAAGATGGCGGATCACACCGGTGGGCCGGTGGCGTCCTGGCCTTGGGTCTTGGAAGGGAACACCCACGCCCACCAAATGTTGGTTCTTCAGGTGGTTGCTCCAGTGACGCAAGCCACGTCGCGGGGCGTTCAACCACTTCTTCTGGTTTTGGCACGCGAAGCTGCCAAGGCAGGGCGGGGTGTGACGGGCCCAGCGTCCGGCCGGCGCGGTCTCGAGCTTGAGGCCCAAAAGGCCTGCAGGTTCTTGCGGACGTCGACCCCACAGCGAGCCCGATGTCGCAGTTGCGGCGTTTGGGCGGTGCGTGGGCCGACGTCCCGAGGTCCAAGTTAAGGAAGAGCTGGCAGAGCTCATCGCCACGCTCTTTCCAGTGTGCCTTGTCAAGGCGGTGCCTTGCATCCGCAATCTGGTGGAGCTGCTCGCGCGCGATGCGTCGGGTGGCTGGGTCCGTCGAGTTAAGCATCTGCCACCCGTGCGCGATCTGTAGCGCCGCGTGCAGCTCCACCAGCGGCAGGAGTCCCAAGCCACCGCGCGAGACCGGCGAGTAGAAGAAGTCGTTGTTGGCGTTCTTGGGCAGGCGGAGCAGGTGGCGGAGGCCGGCGCGGAGGTGAAGGTCGAAGCTCTCCAGCAGCTGGTCTTCGGGTCTCAGATGCCGAAGCGCGTACTCGACACGAGGGTAAAGGTAAACCTTCACGGCCTTCACCACCTGCCAAGGCGCGAGGCCGGACTCGAGTAGCGCCGTCGTGTCCTGCTTGAGCGTCTTCAGCTTGGGCGCGAGCTCGATGCGGCGGTGCACATGGTCGAAACCGTCTCCGATCCCCAGGTAGGTGTACGATTGCATGTGAGTCATGCTGGGGATCGGAGTGCCGTCGAGCGCGAGGTCCAGATTGTCCGCCTCTGTCGCGCCGTTGCTGTTGCGCCGTACGCCCATGCTGCTGCACTTGGCTGCGTTGGCTTTCATGCCAGTCCAAGCCAGGAACGCGGCGACGAGCTTGTGTTGCTTGGTGGCGCCCACCTTGGTGCTGCTGAAGGTCTTGAGGTCGTCCGCATAAGCCGAAACTCCAACACGATCGTCGCCGGACAGCTGCACCCCGGTCTCCGGCAGCCTGCGGGGCGCGAAGAGCAGCAGGCTGATCGCGACGTTGAAGAGCTGGGGGCTCAGTGGGCACCCTTGGAAGACGCCAACCTGCTGCCGGATTGCTGCTGTCGGTCCGTAGGCGGCGTTTCCGATGACGAAGGCGGCCTGGTGGTACAGCCCCTTGCACATGTCGATGAAGTCTGCGGGAGCGCCGAGGTGCTGCAGCGAGTCCCACAGCAGCTGGAATGGCACGCTGCCGAAGGCGTTCCTGAAGTCGTACCATACCTCGTATAGGGGTCGGCGCTTGCGACGTGCTTGGTCGATGAGCGTGGCTGCGAGGAAGTTGTGCTCCCCTCAGCCGTTCACTGCCCTGAACCCCTTCTGTCCTGGTGCGTGCCTGTCGTTCACGTCCAGCCAGCGCACGAGTCGCCGAGCAAGTACACCTGTGTAAAGCTTGTAGATGGCTTGCTGGAGGCAAATGGGTCGCCAGTTTGCCGGGTCGTCATGCGCGCCCTTCTTGTACAGCAGTCGCACGACCCCCACCTGCCAGCTCTGTGGCACCATCTTGGCTGTCCAGCATCGCTTGAACGAAGCGGTGAGCACCGGGAGCAGTTGCTGTGCGAAGCGCTGGTAGACGTCGTAGCCGATGCCATCGAGTCCTGGGCTCGAGGATCCCCGCACGTGCTGTAGCTGGGTCTCGATTTCGTCCGCAGTCGGGACTTCTGTCAGCAGTTCGCGGAGCCTCGTCGCTGGAGGAAGCCTTGCCATCGCCGTACGAAACGCCTCGCCGACGGGTGTCGCGGGGTTGAACTCCCAGCGCGGCGTGTTGGTCCCGGTGAAGTACTGCCAGAGCTCGTCGGCCAGGATGGGGCAGGTTCCGTCGTCGGCATCACCAAGGGCTGACGTGGCTGCTTGCTGTGTTGGTGCTGTCGCTGCTCCTCTTGTAGACGTTGCTGCGCCCGCCGCCTGTGCCGTGCGTGCCGCTCGCGCCGCGTGCGCTTTCTCTAAGATGTCCGCCACGCACGCCTTCTCGTCGGTGTCAAACCGGTGGCGCAGCAGGTGTTGGTTAATGGCCCCGCGGACACGTCCGACGCGCCGTCTCGCCTTGTCAATCGCCGATCGGTCCTGTGGCCGCGCCCGCTCCAGTGTATGGAGCTCATCAACGCCTCGTCGATGCGGTGCTCGCGGTGGTGGCGGGTAACGCGCGGGGGTCGGGGTCGGCGCTGCCGGCTTTGCTGGGAGGCTCAATCATGTTTTCTATTTAAATAGGTGTTTTAATTGTGGTTCGAGCTCAAATAAACATAAACAGGACATCTGTTTAGAGGACATATGTCTACTATGCGGGGTAAGACTGTAGTATGGAGGATACTGTAGAGGTTACCCCTCCATTCCACTTCACTTGTCCCCTTCAGCTTTTCAGCTGTTTTAAATTACTTGTCCTCTAATTAAAACTTAGTTCAGCTAAGGAGAGGTCACATCTCGGTCACATAAAGTGCAAATCTGGGGGCCGAATGGAGACGATGTTTAGGCGAATTTTTTTTTTTTTTGGCCAGAACACTATTAATAAAAAAGACCACAGTTTTCTTTTTTAAAACAGTTTTTCGTTTTTTTCTAAAGCAGCTGTTTAAAAAAGTGGTAAAATAGCGAAGTATTTGGATATTTCAAGAGCCTGGCGGACAATTTTAAAATAAGGTGTGCCACACAAAAGGAAACCCTTCCACAAGTTCGTGACAGCA